AAAAAAAAAAAAGGAAAATAACTTCTCGACATGTATTCTCGTATTCTCTTAAGCTCTGCTATATTTGAAAGAGTAATTTTTACAAAGCCTGTTACAATAGGTGTGTTCCCAGTGAAYCTGAACATTCCTGAGCCTTCTGTGTCTCWTTTTTTTTYCAGATTAATCGTGCCCCAAGCTTTGGAACTGATCAGAAAATAGACTATGATGTAAAAAAAGGTGTTCTGCTAAATGCATTGAAGCTTCTCAACATACGGTACCTTGTCCTCTTTTCTTCAGTCTGGTTCTATTTTTGTTGCTTTGATTTTTTTTTTAATTTGAATTGGACTCAGAGAAAATGAAAAACCTTTTTTCCACCTTCATGTTTTCAAAATGTAAATGTTTCCCTTGCTATCAGTTTTGCTATAGAAATTAATCCAAATTTTTCTTCATGCATAWGTGTTTTCAAAGAATGAATGGTAATAGTAATTTTTGAACTTCTTTTTTKWAATTTTTCTTKATATTGGTATRTGTATGCAGTCATGGGTATGTGKCCATAAAGGAAATTTGCTTGAGTGATAGTGTCACATTCAGTCAAAAGGCAAACCCCTCTACAGGAAAACTTCATAGCTGAGATATGGTGAAAAAAATATACCTCAGGAAAATAGATATCATGTATGTTAAATTATAGGACAGAGTCAATACAGTATCCCTTAAAGTGTGAAAATATATAGCCATGAAAGTTAATATTAGAAAAAATCTTAAAGAATGTTTCAAATCTAATTTTWTATGATAAACTGACTGACTGGAAAATGCAGGTGATGTACTTGATATGAAAGTGCATCTGAACAGCATTGAATTGACATTTCTTAATATCATCTGTGTTTTAGGACAAGTGATAAAAGGAGAAATTTAGCACAACAGAAGGCTGAGGCTCAAAGAAGACTGTATGGTCAAGGGACAGTGAAAAAGCTGTTGCCAGGTTCCTCAGACTGGGAGAAGCAGCGCCACACMCTGGAAAGGAGAAAACAAGAACTGGTAGGAAGGGGGGAAAAGTGCTGTTTCTTGCTCATGGTTTATACTCTCTTTTGTTTTAATTGTCTTACTTTCTTGATTTGTAGAAAGAAAGACTTGCACAAGTACGTAAACAGATTTCCAAAGAGGAGCATGAAAATAGACACATGGGGAACTACAGGTGAATGTTTTTGACTGTATTAGTAGGAAGTATTCAGTGTATTCTTTAGGAACAGTRGAAACAAGTGTTTGTGGWAGATGATAATTTTCTGCCAAAAATGTGTAGGCRTTTTTAGAAAATATATACATGAACATCAGGAATTTTTTTTATTCAGTTAGTTCTTTTCTTGATTTCAGTTTTTCCATGCACTTAGGAATTTTTATGACATCAGTTGCACTATTGTTTGTGCAAGACTTTTGCTTGAAAGACATGATTGTTCACATTCAATGTACCAAGAATCATGAGTGCTSTTATGGACCTGTTCTCAAATCACATATGATCATTCTTGTCTTGGGGGCAGGGGGGTGCAATATGATTATTCCCCTATAAAAATATAATATTTGAGTTGTATCTCTGAGGCTTGCCAAAATTCAGAAACTTTATTGGTTCTTCCATCGGTTTGAATAGAGTATTTGAAATACTTTGTATTTTTGCACTTTGATTTTGGACCTTGATAGGCTGAAACGTGAGTACCTTCAGATTCCTCGGTAAAATATGTTCAAAAGAGAGTTCTRCATTGTCAGTTACCACAGGTATTGACCAGAAAACAAGAATTTTGTTTTGTGATGTTTTTATTATTTCTTGATATTTGCTTCACTGAGAAGTGAAAGCATGGCCTAGGAATATTTGGTGAAAGGGAGCAGAGTATGGGAGAAGAGATGATGGGAATTGTTGCCCACTTTGACATTCATCCAGTGTGTGAGAGGTCTGAGTTTACATACTTTACTGTGAACTAGTTAGAATGCCTTTATTGCTGTTCTTCATTCTACCATTTTTGAGCAGATGTTCTATAATTGTCAGTAAAATTCTCATTTAAACAGAGATGTTTCTGTGAAATTCTCATTTTTGATGACTTAACATTTTACTTACAAAGAGTCTTTCTTGGTAAMTTGTAATTAAATCTTTTCATGATGTGTGGAGCTGACCTTGTAAGTAAAAAAAAACCCTAGATGTACAATGAAGTGATAAAATGGTTATTTTCATGCTAGTATGAGAAAGCAGAGCACCATAGTGCCTTAACACATTTTTCTTTTTGMTAACTTAAAAGTATAGCTGATCATGTTTTAAGTTGCTTATTCAGTTCTTGACTGAAAATGAGCCATGTGTTCTCTTTATTTAGCTTTTGGGTTATTGTAAATCAATAAAAACACAAAAATATTTTTTCCCTCAGGAGAAAGTAAGGTGTCACTTCATGAGGAATGTACATTTGCAAAAAAAGGCAGAACAGCTTTRTGTTTTCTTAATACCATTTGTTTGAGAAAAGGCTGAAGGATCAGCAGAACCTGGCTAGAGAAGAAGAGGAATTTTATTTGAGCGTTATGCAGTATTTTCTCCATGTGATGTTCCTCTGTAGCACAGGACTAACTTTTGTCAGCCATTGACACAGAATCATGGAAATTTTGGTTGTTAGTATTGCTGAATGGATTAATATTGCACTCTGAATAAAAATCCAGTGAAACCTGAGTCAAATCAAGACTTGGATTTAATCTGTGGCTATCAGTTCAGCAGATATTAGCAATTGGCTTAGTCCCTGTCTGTCTGCAAGCACAGCAGGCTCCAGTTGGAGTCTTGGGGCAGCTGATGTAGGAGCCACGCTTTCAGGCCCTTGTGAATTCCTGAAGAATTGGAAAGGATGTACATAGCTTTGAAATGGCCTTCAGCTGCAGTCTATTTCTAAATGTATTAAAAATATTATCCTTTCTTTAAAGCATTCTTCTATGGCATTCTTCTACTTTTTCTGCAGTAGAATCAGCACCATTAAAAGGGGTTGACTGGACTTAAATTAGAACGTAAATCTCCTTCAGGTGTTTAATGCAAACTGGAACTATCTTCATTTTGTTCTAGAGCTGCCCTGAGTCTAATGGTGTCAAATCATCCTTTCTTTCATTGCAGCAAAATCCTCGTTATAGATACCTTTTCAAGGAGAAAAAGTCTGAAAATAAAGAAGGAGAAAGAAAAGAACTTGGTAAAAAGTTCAGAAAGCACTCACAAATACATAGAAGTCACATATATCATGCACTATATAAATGGTRTCCATACTTTGCACAGTGCAGGCAAAATTAATTTATGGATTACTTCTTACAATACATTAGAAGTTAGTCTTTCCATCATCAATAATTTCTGGCTCTGTTTCAAGCATTTGTGACAGATGGATTGAAGTGGTTTTCTCCAAAGCCCATTGTGGCTTGGTGAACATGAATAAATCACCAAGTCCTGCTTCTGATATTGTCATAATCTCCTTACCTGTGATTTTAGAGAATAATGGCCTAGCTGCTCTAATGGAAAATCAGTGACCCTATATATTTCATGTACCAGTTTTTTTKGGGTTTTTTTTTCTGYCTTATAGTACCTGTTTCTTCCTGTCAATTTTTGTGGATTTAGCATTCAAGTGCAGTACATACTCAATCTTTAATTTATATCCTGCCCATGAGATCAAAGCAGTTGTTCAGATTTTCACCGTTTTCTGTCCTTTGATTGCTAATACAAATTGTTTTGTGTCCTTTTATTGCTRATACAAATTATTTTGTGGCTCTGAATTTTACATACAATATTTTATTAATATTTCATGAATCATTCACACCTGCATGCATCACTCACACCCACTGAAATTTCTGAGCACTGCAAAACTGGGTTTTGGTATACCTCTAGAATGACCTACATGGTATTTCTTTTGACTGGCTAATTGCTGGTTTATACATGAATGTGTTCACTGAATTAAAATGAGAGAGCAATGTTTAGAGTATATGTTTYATGATATGATATCATTATTATAGATGGGATGTGTGTGCATTAAAGAAGAGACTGTGTATTAGTGACATTATTTTTGTGTGATAAATACCTCAGCTTCTATCTTAAACTCTTCTTTTTTTCCTATTTCAGGCGAATTTACCCTCCTGATGATAAGACATTACTTGAGAAGTATGAGAGTTTGTTAGCCACCGCTTTCCAGACGTTTCTTGCTGGACGAGCAGCTTCACTTCAGCGGGAAATGAATAACCCTTTAAAAAGAATGAAGGTACTGAAGTACACCAAGTACTGGTTTTAAGAGTTACTTATCTTTGAATTCATGATCTTGTGGATTAGTTTCACTATAATCATGTATGATGCCTAACAAATAGCATTTGATAATGTTCCATCATCTTACTATTATTCGTTGTGCAGCCTGTGGGCCAGAACGTTGAATCTGGATGAACTGCAGTGTACTCAGGGTGGAGACAGGCTAGATGGCTCTAAACTACTTTACCATATCCTTGATCCTCAGCCTTACCCCTGGCCAAACCAGAGGTTGGCAGAGACTGCTTTTGAGCTGGTATTTGCTTCTTTCTTCCTCCAGTAATGTTCCCAGCCTATTCATCCACTTGTATGGACTGGAGCAAGAGATATCCTAAAAGCAGCTCCACTGGTTTAAGGATTTAAGACATTCAAAAACTCTGCCTGATTGCCTGCTTATTTAGTCAGAGACAGTAGGAAAGCAGCTATATTATATTAATAACCAGCTAGCATGATGTATTTTGGAATCTGAGGAATAATTTTGCATGTTTGTAGTTGGCATAATYCGCCAGTTTTACAGGAATCTTTGTTCAATCCTTTCTTCAGAATTTTGTTTTTAATAAATGTTAATACTTGMTTTTAACCCTCAGTTCGATGGTGCTCGCAAGGACAGACAGATGCACATATGAGAAGAAGTATTTCTATTTCTTCCTATGGAGGAATTCATAGTCTTATTTTAGGAATTAGTAATCAGAGTAATTTCAAATTTGTACCACTTTCTGCTTGAATTTTGGGAGGACGGGTTGTGTCCTGCGTTGAATTAATGGTAATGAAATTCCCATTTCTAGGAGGAGGACATTTTGGATCTTCTGGAGCAGTGTGAAATAGATGATGAAAAGCTGATGGGAAAATGCACCAGGCAGCGAGGACCTAAGGTATTAGACTTCTAGATACCAATTTTTTATTTCACTTTGTAGACAGGTATTCTGAGAATACTAAGTTGGGAGTTTAGCCTGCTGGAAGTTTTCTTCCTGAGACTGCCATTAACCCTTTTTAAAAAAAATTTAAAAAGTATGAAGAAAAGCATCACTACCATTTGTCCAAATAAATCCCATTAAATTTTTGAGGGGATATGAGATCCTCCTTTCCCTCTCTAAACCATTTTGAGGAATTGCCATGCATGGCAACAGCTGTTGTACGAGAGATTGATGGATTTCAGTGTGTGAAAAGATTTTTAGTGGATCTSAAAAGAATGCTTTCATCTTTAATTGATTAATGCCAAAATTAGGATATTGGGATGAAAGGCACTATGGAAGGTCAAAGAATTAATTATAATTTTGATACATCTGCAGCTTGCAAAGAGAGTTGTAGTATATCTTGGAACCTGTTTTGGATCCAAAATCTGCTTTAATGTAAATGTATATTATTTTTAGCTTAATGTTTTCTGCTTGTGTGCACGGTTCATGTGAGTCTTTGCCTTAAATAAACTACATATCTCTGTAAGCCAGTAAAGATAAATAGTTTGGGCTTGACTAAAATAAGTATTTTTTTTTATATCCTGTAAACATTTTAGGTCAAGTCTGCTTAGAAGAGCCTACATCTCTGTTCTGAGCTTTGATGGATTTGTTCAAAGATGCATGTAAATTTTCTTACAGCATTCTATGTTTCTGATGACATGGTGCACAAATTTGTGGATTTCTGTACAAAATGAATGCTGAAAATTGTTCTGAGCTTGAAGAGGTACTTTAGATATGTGCAAGAATCCAAAGAGCTACATCTTATTAAAGGCATGCATTCTGGAAAGAGGATCTACATGCCCAATCTGGTATTAAGACAGATTTGCAGGGACCTCATTACAAATATGGGGATTTTGTGAACTCGTGCTTTAACAGTGGTGGATTCATTTAAACAAGAGTAAAAACCCCAGTCCACCCTAGCAGTACACTCAGTCCACATTTTTCAGGGATTCTTTTCCCTGAAGTTTTGTTGTCAGTTCTTTAACATGGGGTCACTTAATTCAAGTTTAACRTCTCAGTCACATTTTCCTCTTTTTCCAAAGCCTGTCTTTTCCCAGCAGCCCTCAGAGAACATCTATCTGGTTGTCTGTCTGCACACTGACTTGATCACTTCTACCTCTGCACTCGTTGCTCACAAGACATTCCCAGGCTGGAGGCTGTAACATTTAATTAAACATTAATRGGGTACTAAGCCCAAATTGAGAAACCTCTCTCAATTAGTTTTAAGATGAATTTTGATTACTTTATGAGTAGGATTATATGCCGTGGTCTTCTTTTCTAGCAGGCAAATGGATTGCATAGCTTACAGCTGCTTTACTGGTACAATATTGGTTGTACTTAGTGCAGAAAGAAAAAAGTGCTTATGACCAAAATATCCTGTTTTCTTTTTTCCCCCTAAAATTGATGAAATCAAAAGGAAAGAGAATCAAACTAGCTTATCCAGAGAGACTGTTTATTTTCCTTGCACTGTGAACTTCATGCTATGCAGAATTTCTACTCCTGCATCTTTTTTGTAGTCCTGATGTATTTCTCAATCATTTAAACCTTGCCTACCATGAAGCCATGTGACCAGAGATTTCCCTGGCTGCATAATGTCCTGTGTGCTCCCTTTGAAATACAGATGCCCATACAGATGGTCCTTGTATCTTTTACCAAAAGAGCATCACCTCTTTCCTGTAAGGAGGAAGGTGCATATGGCCAGTAATACAGACTTAATTGGCCACCACTTTGTAAAGAGACTGCTATAAGATCTGTAATGTCTAAATATATATCTATATAGAAATCTGGTGARTGAGGCAGGCAGTAGAAGTTACTACTGCCTGTCAGTCTGTCAGGTAGAAGAATAATCCAGCTGTAAACCTCAGCTTGTAACCACAAAATCCTACAAATAAAAAACTATTTGCATTTTAGAATAGTAACATATGCAAGACCTAATAGAAAATGAAAGAAAGCAACCACAGGACTGGTACTTTTCATGTCATGTTTCCCAGCAAGAAAGGTACTTTGAGAAGGTCATGAAGTCTGTCCCCCCTTAAAATTCAGTGGCTGCCCTGCTGACAGAAGCTACTTTTAGGTCAGGTGCACTGTCTTGAGTTGCACTCTTTTTTGGAAAAAGCCCAGCCAGGACTCCAAAAACTAACTAAATAACTGGAATAGTTCAGAGAGAGGTGTTTTCCTCCTCATCCTCTTCCACACACAGAAACATATATAAACATCTACATTTACACATGTATATCTATACATAGGAGAGGTTGAGGACTGTAGGCCTATAAAGAAATACAARTTTTGCATGTAATAATTATTCTGTATTTGCTAGGAATTTCAGTCTTATTTTTATTTTAACATATTTAAGAACACAATAGGAAAAAAGAAATAAAGAATTTCACAGAAGGACGGCATTATTTCCTGCAATTAAAGTATCACTGAGTTTTGCACAGATTGAGATGCRCATTCTGGAAATGTCCGGTTCCTTTGCAGCCTCTAGAGGGCTCCTGACACCTACACACTGTCAGGGTTACCCGTGTGTGCAGGACAATGGACTGAGGAGCTAAAATAATAGATATTGTAGAGGAAATGAGAAATTAATTTTAATTTTAATTATTTTGATACAAGATCAGATGAGTTTAATCACAGAAAAAGTGGGTTTGCACAAGGGGAAAGTACCGATGATTAGACTTGCTAGGCAATCAGCTATCACTTACAGTGGYCACTTTATGTCCAGATCTAGCTATTATTATCTGTCATTATTGCTTTTTTAATACCTTTGATCTTTCTTTTTATTCTTCTTTGTTAATTGATATTGTTTAGTGTAGAATGTGTGAAGAACATGCATATGATAGCTGGAATAAGATCTACCTTAAAGCTCCTGTGAGTTGTGATTGAAAATGTTTGTTATACGTTGTATAATTTCTCAGGAATGTCTGATCAATGTCTCCATCATACACAGCATTTCATGGTTAGGACAGCTATKTTTAAGAAAGCAGTCAGTGTTGAGGCATCTTACTTCTATCCCTTTGGCAGACCGATACATATCAACATACTCGTTGTGTAACAACAATTGTCAGGGCTCTCCTCAATGCGATRTTCTTCTCTAACTTCTTATCTGGTCTAACAGCTTGAGATTGCAGAAACATTTGCWTTTAGTCAGTGGCAGAAATCCCTTCCCATCCTTGTCTGGAATAGAAGTTTAGGTAGCATCTATTCAGTTATAAAGTGCAGCAACAGGATGTTTTGGGGCTTTTCCCTGTTATCCTTGTAATAAATCTAGATGCATTATGTTATGCTAAGACTTTAGGAAAATTTGAATTCTTCCTGAGAGTTCTTCTATTTCACTTTGACTCAAAGTATGTTTAGAAATGATGATGTGAATATTTTCAAAAATCTGAGCTTTAATTGCAATCCATTGCAATTGAGTAGATGAGGCCATCAGCATAACTTCTTATAACTGAGAGTTACTGGAAAGAAAGTGTGTAGGAAGAAAAGGTGATCACATAAACCTACTTAGAATAATAGATGTAATGGAAGATACTGCATTTTTTGTGTCTTACTGATGGTAGATGGAAGCAGAAAAATTTTCATTTGTAGTTTCTGTTCTTGGATCAGTTTCTCTGTCTCCACTTTTGTGKTTTTTGTCTTGCAGTATCCTTGGTAATAGCACAGGATTAGTTAGCTAATGACACTGAATCCCATGGGCATGAGGCATCAGAAACGCTCAGTATAGTATAGTTTGCTGTATTCTTTGGTTTCTGCTCTCTGCAGGATGTGGATTAATCCCTTTTTTTCAGGARTAAACCAGCCAAAGTTCCCTGATGTATTTTTCTACTTCATGTAGATCATTGTCAAACTATCTTCAATTATTGCAAATATCAGTGAGGAACTGAACTGATGGTAAATGGTATTCTGTATCAATTGATTTATGATTTCAAACCATAATTCAGTATGTTTGGTAGAACAATTCATACATGAAATAAAATAATTCCACCCCCCCCCCCCCCCGCACTCTTACTATATTATGCTGCTGTTCGTGTGAGAAAGATTAGAATTACTGTGGAGTGAATTTAATGAACTATTTAAGCAATTTTTCTAAAGTTTAGGACAAACTTCCATTCCAATTTGGGAGGGTTAACAGCTGTGCAAATCCTAATTTCTTGGGTGCTTTCTCTTCTTTCTTTTTTTTGCTTTAGCCCTTGTGTTCAATGCCGGAAAGTGCACATTCCACAAGGAGGCCTAAGAACCACAGCAGTGATAGTAGCTGTGATAGTGGTAGCAGTGTGTCAGAATCGGGAGAAGAAAGTGAAAAGGAAGAAAAGGAAGACCACAATGAAAAAAAAGAGAAAAAAGTTTCATATGATCTTGAAGAAAATAAATATAAATCTTTGGAACGATCAGGTAAGTTAATGGATCACTTTTCCAAGTAAGTCTGGCACTGACGATGAATTATGTGAAATTGTTCTGCCTTTTAGAATGTATCAACCTTTGTATCTCAGGGTTTAGCACTGGTTGTCTTGTTTCAGTTTCTTTAAAATGTTTTCTGAATTAACAGATGTAGCATGTTACTTTTTGTTTTAGTGATGTGTTGCTTTAAATAATTTTATAATATAATTGCACGTGTGTAGTGCTGCTTCTAAAATTTTATTTTTCATAGGAGCATGAGTGAATTAAAAACTGGTGTAACTCTGCAGTAGCAAATGAGAGAGAGTGGATCTGCAAATATGGGATCCACTGAGCAAATTATCTCTCCTGTTTCCATATCCTTGTAGTCAGGATACCACACACAGAAGTCACATATGTTTTGAACTGCAGAGCACACACTTCTCTCATAAATCTCATATGGTTATAGTGGATGGGAGTCTGCCTGATTAAAGCTGAATATGAGGAAGAAATAAACGTTTTTATAAGTATATGAATTATGTACTATTTGGGGATCTGACACGACTTACTTCTACATAKATAATTGATAGTCAGCATACATTGTAGTACATTTGTGCCTCCATATTGATCATATGTGTTGCTGGTTACAAAGACTAAAAAATCTGCATTAAGAGAATAATTAGTAATAACATAATTCATTTAATTTGTCTGCAGGTAGAATGAACTGCAAACCTTCAAATAAAAATGTAAAATCTCCATCATACTCGTCCCCCACATCATCCACAGGTCCAATAAGGCGTTCTGTGAGCTGCCCTCGTTCCATATCAGTACTCACTATGCAGTCCCAGGGAGCTGAGCMGCGCCCCTTTTCAGCCAAAGCATCTCTCCAAATGCAGCGACCATCCTCAGTGAACAGGTCTCACTCTTTAAATCGTAGCCCATCTTCAGCCAGATTCTCTCAGACAGCCACCTTGGGAACTATGAACTCTTCAGGGGTGAGTTAACACAGAAATTGCATTCAAAATRTTTTTCATTTTTCTCTAAAACTCATTAAATATTAGTAATTTTTGCAACAGAAAACTTGTAGTGAAGATTATTTTAACAGACACTTGAGAATATAAGATCTCTAGACATGTATGYGACATGGGGTAAGTGCCAGCTGTGATGTTTCAATGCCCCTGGTGCAGCAATACATATATAACATTTTGTGGAAATGGAGCTCTTAATTTTGTGAATGGGAAACCTTCACTCTGTAATAGGCTTTTGAAGATAGAAAGGGTCATTAACTCTCTTAAAAATTTTTTGTGATTTGTTTGGGGGCTGCAGGTTCTGAAATAAGGCTGTACCTACCTTCAAAATCTTTACAGTTACAAAAATACTTCCAGATTTCAAACACAGTGTATACTCTCAAGGGTAAATACATTGTGCCAGAATAAAACATTAGTAAGTCTTTGTATGGCTGTCCACTGTAGAAGAAGGTGAGATTAATTTTCAACCTACTGTACCTATTTTGCATATATATGCACTATACCACTACAGTAGAGCTCTACTTCCAAAGTGAACAAGTGAAAATTTAAACAGTTTTTGTGGTCTTCAGGACTGCCATTGCAGTAACTGTCTCGGAAGCCATTTTCTTTTATTAAAAARGAAGGAAGTTAAAGTGTCTTTCATTTGAACCCTCTCCTTGAGACAGATCAGCAATTAGACCCAATAATTAATAGATCAGATTAAACCCTTTTAATKGTTTAGAATTTGTGTGATTAGTTGTACTTTCACAATGTACTCATGAACCATGTATATTTTCTCATTTTGTTAGCAGATTGTCATCTTCTTTGGTATCTCCTTCACAGCCCAGGCATTTCTTCCTTTGTGTTTGCATGATGGACCCCACATTCACTTATCCCTAGGCAGTGTTTGCAGGGATCAATCCCCACCCTCATTCAGTATTGCATTGTGTGCTGCTGCCAGTGTTTCCATTCATGCTTTGATGCCTGACCTATATATTTCATCACCCAAATAATTTGTCTGGAGATGGGGCAAAACAAATTGGCACTTTTAACCCGTGTTTGCAGCCTCTCTGTATTGTGGTGAGCTTTGATTGTGAGAAATCCTTTTGTAATGCTAATTAACTTGCTTCATAGTATTTACTATSTCTAATCATCATTTTTATCCGGTAGAACGCTCATTGTCTGTTTTGCCTGTGAGGCTTTGTCTAAATGATGAAAAAGGATCCTTTTAAAATTGTGTGCTGACATCTTGTGAAATACTCCTTAACATGGTTTTCCATCTTTAAAGTCAGCTAATAGAATTGGAAAGACATTAAGATTGTGTCTTCACAACAACGTGTTAAAGGTATTTTTTATCGCATTAGCTATCTCAAGTTTAAAAAGTACCCTTTTATCATCACGATGTACTTCGAGAGTTTAATGAGACAGTGCTAATATAGATTTTTCTATTCACATTAACTTTATATCAAATACAAATTACTGAAAGATTAAAAGCAGTCTCTTACCATCTGACATTAAAAATGGGCTACTCRCTTAAATTAACATTAGTAAGAAAGCATAGTCTCTTTTTGATTGAGAAAGCTCCACCACAGAAATGATCTTGATGTGCAGAACAATTAYGTTGGGTGATAGAGCTTAGGTCATGCTTCCTAAAAATGATGTGAATAAAATTACTTACAGAATGGATAAGAACTACTCATAATTTAGCACTGTATTCTGAATGGAACTCTGTTCATAATTATTTTTGCGACTAAGAATAATATAATATATATTACTGCTAGAATAACATTAAAATTGATAAACTGACTTAGTAAGAGGAAATCATTTGTGCATGATAAAGTGTTAGTTTATCTATCCTTTGGGCGAGAAAAGAGCAGTACRCTGCCATTTTTGGAGTTTGCTGAGATCCAAATGTTCTAAAGGTAGGGAAACAAAATTTAAAATAAACCATTTGTAGTTGTGAATTACAGACATAATATTATAGGAGTTATAAACAAAACTGGATTTGAAAATATTTGCTATCTTATTATTTCAGCCACATTAACATGAGTACCAAATAGTGAAGTATTTTTTTGAGCTTGAAAATATTTATCACTCACTTAAGTAAAAATATCCTTAGGTATTGTAGTTGTTACAAGATACAAAGATTAGAAGTGTCTTAAAATTTTGAATTTCACTCTTGAAAAAAATTAAAATTAAACCCACTTAATCTTGCAAATGTGAAMATGCATAAAGTATGTGAAAGTAAAGAAAGAGGATCAGAAATACTTCTAACGACTGTGTTATGTTTTAAAGAAGACCCCCAAGCCCTCCAGAGATGGAGACACTGTTGGGGGTCAGATCAGTGTTTGTGCAAAAAGCACTCATATTTGAAACAAAATTCTGGGCAATCTAAGACACTGTCAGACCCCTTACTGACCAAAGGAGGAAAGTGTTCTTTGTAACGCTCCCTGAAATCTTAGTTCAGTGATACAATGCCAGTTTACCTTAAATCATTGAAGTGAGGAACTGAAAGGACGCTTTTTATGACTAAAAATATTTTTCATTATGTTGAATTTAAATTCAAAGTCTGTTATCAACATTTCAGATTTATACTTGAAATTGTGGGCACCATAAATATTGAATATATGTTTGTTTATTCTATTTCAAACAAACTTACATTTAAATTGTTTTTCTTGGATTTCTTGACAACTCTAAGTAATGATGATGCATTAATGCATGTGATATATATTAGTTCTGTATTAGATAACACATCTATGCACTTTAATAATATATTTTATGTGACTCTATTTAGAATTTTTTTTGTCAAGCAAACAACTTTGTAATGTGATTTAATGGCATGCTTGAAGTGTTTTCCTCTGCTTYGTGTTGGCTTTTAGAGTGAGTCTTTGCTGCAACAGAAAACAAAAGAGCAAGAAATTGCTTTAACAAAAGAAACTCTTCTCCTTATCAATGACATGAGAATCAAGTTCCCAGGAAAAACAAATGAAGAATCTGAATTAATTATAGAAGATGTAAGTATCTATAAATAAGAAAGAAGAACAGGCTAGACACTGTTTAGGCTACTGAAATGAAGGGAAGTAAAAAGCTCAATCTATGATTCATTAGCTCCTGTGGCCCTAAAACTTCCAGAGCTCAGGATAATTCAAAAGATTTTGAAAGCTTGGAGCTTTGCATACTTTCTGTCCTTAAAAGTGCAGCACTGAAAACATTCCTATGTCCTTATAAAATATATGAGAAATAATCAGGAAGGTTAGGAAAATTCAGTTTGTCACAGTGGAGAAAGTTCAAACTTTTAAGTAAGCCAAGAAGAATGTTACAATTCATATTTCATCTGATATTGTTAAAACAGACCCTGACCTGTTTAACTTGCTCTCAAACAGGCACACTAGAGAACTCAAAATGGTATGCTGCWAGCAGAATGGAGGTTTGATGGTCATCAAGAACACCAGTCACACGATTTTTAGCTCTTGCAGTCTGCCATATTAGCCTTTGTCACATTCAGTATTGTCTGGAGACTTGTAGTTTGGTATCAAAGACATGGGAAACATGCCCCACTAAAGGTCATTTAAACCCCAATTATATACAAGCAGAAATTACATGCTGTCTGAATACCTTGAAAATACTTAATGCAAAGAAACTAACAGGATGGAAAAGAAAAAAGATGAAGACAGAAGTTCTCTTCTCAGTTTAGAAGAAAAATGAAAGAATTTAAATTAAAACCTGTGTTCCGGTATAGTGAGCACAGTCCATGGTGTGTTAATTTTTTTTAAATCTGGCCAGAAATGTCCTGAGCTCTTGTGAGCTTTCAGDATGTTGATTATGTCTCTAGTAATCTCTGCAGCTACACTGGAATGAAAAGGAATTCCTCTGTAATGATGGTCGATTTGGGTGATGCTGGACGATAGCATTCATAACCAGTCATTGGGCTTTTCAACCTAGAAGCAGCTCTAAAATGCTTCATTAAATGTTGTCTCTGATGCCTGTGAGTGTGCACAGTTCTGTGTGATGCTCCATCTGGCGGTGCTCCCTCRCACAGCGCCAGCCTGCACGGCAGAACTCTTCAAATTTGGCCATGACCAGTTCCTGATGGGAAACAATCACGAGGACAACGAGTACTGGTATATTGGTTGCTAGTGAGACAGAACTTGTTGAGGGTCGGGAGTAGAATAGAAAGATAAAAGAACAAAATGGAAATTAAAATGTATGTTTGCAGCTAGAACTATTTTGGTAGCTCTTAGATATAGTGAGAGTATTGCAGTTCATATATGATTATTTATAGAAAGGATGATTTCCAGGTATGCTATTGTACCTTATGTARAAAAACCCCTCACTATTTAAATAGATTAGTAGTTATGCTTTACTGAATTTACTACTCTCAATAAATCTGAGCTGAGTCAGTCAAGACAACTTTCTAACTGCTTTGTAGTGTGTGCACGTTTTTCAGAATCAGGTAGAAAAGAGGGTAGGATTAAACTGAAGCATCACACAGATCTTTGCAAGTGTTGCCTCACATAAATTTGCAAATATTTTGTTATTTCTTTTAGAGAAAACTTCTCACAGTTGTCTTTAAGATGCTCAAATTTTTAAGCGTTAGGAGCGCGCATGAAAGAAAGACCAGCTTTCAGTTGTTTTCATGTGTGTTTTTTATCTTGTGTTTCAYGATAACTACAGATTATGGATAATTGGAAGTATCATAAGACAAAAGTGTCATCCTATTGGTTGGTAAAACTGGATTCAGCAAAGCAACGAAAAGTAAGTGACATACTTCGTTTTCTGAAGATCTTCTAAAGTAAATGCATAGCAGTGTTTCTACTGTGTTTACCAGTAGCTGGGAGTGACTTGAGATGTCAAAATACTGGCTGTTGATAATAAAATATATATGCATTTATTCTGTTGGAGGAAATTATGTTGCTATGTTGCTCCAAATTTGGAGAAGCATGATTATTCTGGATTACAATTTAAAAATCAACTTATCAAAAAATTCATCTGCTGAAAAAAGACCCAAACAAATAAATGACTAGTGCCTAACAACTAAGTTGTAGCTGACATTCTTAGAAGTGTATTCACTCAGCAATTTGATTGATAAGGGCTACATCAGTCAGAAGTTTCAGACCAGGCATATTAAAACTCCATTAGAGGAAGTGATAATGGCACTTGGCTGTTCGAATATTTGACCCACAGTATTRGAATAGATGATGTTGAATAAAAAATGGACCTACCAAGTAAAGAATTTTCTMCTTTAAGCATGATTTCAGAAAGCCTCCAATGGAGAGTGGCTCTGTCCTTTATTTGACTGGTAGTCATGTTAAACCAAGGGCACATGTACAAAGTCAGGATGACAGGGATTGATGTACCAAGTTGTTACGCGCAAAAACTGTACAAGCAGAAATGTGGACTTTTTRCTCTTCTTGTGAGGACATCTTTTACAACTTTAGGAGACTTATAATTCCTGAAGCACTAGTGAGCTCTTCATCTTTGCTTGCACTGGAAATGATTTGCCTTTTTTTTTAACTGCTTTTAACCTCAATCCCTTCAAGCAATCRGATAGTTATTCTTAGAAGGGTAGTTTATAAAAACGGATTAACTTTGACAATGACATTGCAGCTGAGGACTGCCAAATGTCTTTTGTTGATTTGAAAGAAGTATGTTTTATATTCCAATGAGGTGGGTGAAGGAGAAGTGAGCAAGGTGGAGAATATTTATGCAAGTAAGGAATCTGTCTCAAAGGTACCTTTTGCAACTTTGTGAATTACAAAACAGAATCTCAGTCTCCTTCACTCTTACTTACTGGGAAATTCTATCACACAAGAAGAGAATACCTGGGCAGTGTCCTACATTTCACAGCGTTCATCCCTGACAGCTGTGTTTGCTTAACAATTATTCAACACGATGTAGAAAAACTAAACTTATGCTCATATTCTTAGTGTGTAATATTCTGGCATTACAGCACAGGTACAGGAGGCATTCAGAAGCAAGTTGAGAATAAACCAGTTAAATCAATTCATGTTAAAAAGAAATTTAACCTCTAAGACRTTAAAGAAAAAGAGACTTTTGTATGGGAGGAGTTATGACTACTTCAGTTTGCATCACTTTACATAATTTCTTTAAAAGTGTTTTGATGGTTACCAGAGGGTTTTGAGTATGGTCTTTCATGACATTTTGTTCTGTTACACCTAGAYAATTCGTTTTGTTAAAGTAAATGATGTAAATTAAACAGAAAGATGAAGGCAAGCTGGGAAAATTAACTTAGAAAAATGAAGATATAGGTTTCMTGAAGTTCTAGCCCTTGTGCAATGCCTTGTCTCTTTTCTTAAATGGATGATTGAGGCCGTGTTTGCAAATTAGGGACAATTAACTGGTACATTTCCTGCTCTGGCATATTGGCAATATCAACACAGTAAAAAMAGCAAGAAAGATTTTTTTCCGGAGTACCTGGCAGCCTGTGGCTTGCTCTAAGATTTTCAGTTCTTAGTTTTCTTCAACTCCAGTGCTACAATAAAATGAAAAGTTCTACATTGGCATCATTGTTCTTAGCTTATGTCTTTTGGTCTAGTGAGAGAATCTGTACTGGGTGGAATTGCTCTTTTTTACACAGGGAGAGAAATTACTGTTAGTCAGTGTAACATTGCAAAGAAATGTATGGCTGATCGTACAGTACATGATTTATGGGCTAAGTTGGTTCAGATGGGTGTGTGTGACCACATACTGGCCATGTGTGTGGGAAAGCCTTGGACGAGTGAGACAYGAGGAAAAGTGCTTGAGAAGCTTGAAGACAAAAGGCTAACACTGCTAAGGAAGTGTCTGAAAGTCTGGACTTATTCTACAGGCATGGGGCAATCCAAAACCTGGGTTTAGCTCCTGCTCTCACTAAAAAGGATCAGCACCCTTAGGTTTTAATATCTTACTCTTTCTATCTCACTCTTTGGGAGGAGGAGACCATGGGGGTGGGTTTTAGTGTGTGACTCACCTGCATTCATAGATTCCTAACAGCAAGGATGGTGCAGTATTTACATTGGGTTATTATGTGYATGGAATCAGTGCAAGACCTGTGCGTGCAGACTAATCCTAGGTCTTTAAAAAGAGCTTAAATAACATGGAAAAACATATTTYGTCTAGAGTGTCATTATTAGGTATCTATAGATTTTCTGCCAATTAGGCATACTACACAGCTTCCTTGTGCTATTGCAAGCATTCTGTTTATTTAGGCTTTGTTTCCTTCACTGTGTCCTGTCAGACTATTTATAAACAACATTTCGTTATGCAGGACGTAAAAATTGCAATTCCACACCATGCTTCCATACTTTACTGTTCTGCTAAATCTCTTTCACCTTTTGAGAGCCACKATTCACCATGTGAATCAGTTTGTCATACATATCTGAAAGTTTCCAGGGATAGAATTGTACCTTCTAATTTACAAAATCTTACACCAAATCAGCAAATCTCTCCATCTGCTTACCACCCACTTGAATCTGATTGGTTTTTGGAAGATGCTGTTATGCAAAAGAGGCAGAGAGGGTGTTTCCTGCAAAGGAAATTACGTTGATTTAACTGGCTTTTTTTTAAACAGTTGCATGCACTGTAGGCTTTTTTGTAGGACAGATTTTACACTGTTCAGAGTGCCAATATGGGGCCTAAATATTACTTTGATCACAAAACTGTTCCCAGACTTTTGATAGTAGACAGACAGGATCCAAGACACTCTGGAGCCTGATTCTCTCCAGTGATTATAAAGGGAACATAGAGGACTGACTTAAGAGAACATCCAGATATTGAAAAGTAGGTACCAGTTCARTGGGATGTGCAGAGGGGTATCCATRAGGCCTCTGATAAGTTGGATGTGCAGCTGTCTTGCAGGATACTGAATGCAGCTCAGCCTTTATGCTCTTGCATTTAAATGTAGTCTGTATGTAATAAATCCATGGCATGTYTATAAATGTTTCCATTTTAAATATCTTGCCGATTATTTTCTTACTGGTTTCTGATTTGTACACCTTGTACTTCCCGGTAAATGAATATGGTTTGATCCAGGGTAACATCAAGCTTAAACAAACATTAAACCAAAGGCAGTTTGCAGTTTTCCAGGACATTTGAGTTCTTTATAAAATAGATGGCATTTTAAAAGGGAGTGGGAAAAGAAGATATATAATATTTGGGTTGTTAATTAAGTTGCTCCTAGTCTGTAATTGTGTCCTTTTTTTTCCTTTTTATTCTGTCATTTAAATGAAGTAGTATAGAATTGATTGAAAAAATAGAAATGAACTTTTCTGTAGCAAAAATAAAATATTTTGTTTTGTCAYTGCAAAATGTTATTGACAGAAAGAACACATAATAAAAGTTAGCTGATGAATGCACAGAAATAAGCCATAGWCCTCTGCAGGAATGTATAGGTACACACTCATCTGTCTGTATGTGTGCAGAGCATCAGTCATCAGCTGGAATAAGTCTTTGATTTACTTGGGCTGCTGTTTCCTAGGTTTTGGATATAGTCAGGACAAGTGTTCGTGCRGTTCTACAGCATGTCTGGAAAGCTCCAGACATTGAAAATTTACATCTCTACCGTCTTTTTAACCGTGTGTTTAATCGCTTACTTTGGAGCCATGGTCAAGGCCTATGGAACTGTTTCTGTAATTCAGGGTAAGCTGATTTTTCTTTTCTTAGTCTTATTCATAACTTCCCAAGTACAATCACTGCTGGCATACTTTGTTGCTCCTTTTCATTCACAAGAATGCTATAATACATTGTACTTATTTTAAAAGCATCTAAAGATACATGGTGGAATTTTAGCAATCAAGGCCCACCATTTTCAGAAATGTAGTAGCATACTTAGTGATCTTAAGAGRTAATTTCCAACCTAAATCATTCTATGATTATCCAGTTTGTGAAATTAAACAGTTTTGATGTATACAAACAATACTTCTTAAACAATTGCATTGATAATAATTAAGGAGAAATGTTTGCCTTATTGAAAATAATGTTTGCAATGAAAATTTTGTAGGGCTGAACATTTTCAGCTGGAACATATCATCTGGACAGAGGAGCCAGGCTGRCAAATTAGTTAGCTATACATACAGCTCATCTTTTAGTCATTAATGGTCTTAACTGCATCCTAACCATAGAATCATCAACTCATACTATGTTAAGGGGTTGGAATGGACCKTAAAGATCACCTAGTCCCAGCCCCCCCAGCCATGGACAGGGACACCTCCCACCAGACCAGGTTGCTCAAGGCCTTATCCAGCCTGGCTTGGAACACTGATAGGGTTGGGGCATCCACARCGTTCCTCAGCAACCTGGGCAAGTRTCTCAACACCCTCACAGTGAAATGCAGCCCTAATTAAAAAAAAAAAATCTCACTAGGTAGGGGTGAGCTTGGTGGTTCTTTGATGTTGTTTTAAGGACAAACTTYCTACACTGACATTGGGAAATCTACTGTTGCTCTCTGTGGGTAAGGCTAAATCATCCTGGATGCTGTGTTGAAGCCAGATGCAGCAAATTTTCCTCACTCTGTGAAGTGCTTCTTTCATACACAAACAAAAAACCTCAAGCTTGCAAACCATCTGTGCTACTGGATCATAATTTTGACCAAAAAAACTCTTCACAAGCACCATGTTGCTTTTTAGAACAGATGGAATGATCTATAATTTGATCAGAATTTTACACAAACAAGAGTGTTGAGATGTATGCAGAGAACTATTTACTGTAGTGTTCTGTGCTAAAACACACCTGGTTTATATTGGTGTGGTAGGTTTTGGTGKTTTTTTTTTTTTCCAAAGAAAAATGTCTTCTTAAGAAAATGTAAGGAATTTTTCTATAATGTACTTTGCAAGTTGCACTTAATTGTAGATAACCAAGCCCATGTGACCAGAGGGAATAATAAGCAGTATTTGAATTACTAAACTAGAAGACTCTCCTCGTATGATTTTTTGGATAAGGAAGCAGAGCACACACTAATCTCCTATAAATTAATTTCATAATTGTTTCTTAGTATCATATACTCACAATGAAAGTATTATTATTATTAGACATTTAGGAATAATTTATTACTTTTGTTAATTCCTTTAATATCATAATTTCATTCAGGTGGTAGCCTTTAAAAAGAGTGACTGTTTTTAATATTCCATTTGTAAGACAAATATACARTTTTGTGACAGTAAATCTTTTCGTGCTAAACGTAAGTAATGGCTCTATAAACACTTTAKGGAACAAACCAAGTGAAAAATGGCAGTGGACATTTCCCATATAAAGATTAACTTCTTAGTTTGTGTTTTGGACTCAGCATCTGCCAGTATTTGTGTTAAATAGTGTAGACCATTCCTGTACACAGGCAAGGTCATGGTTTTTCCCTTATTCCWCTGTTAAGTCTGATACAAAGAAAGRAAGATTTTAGACTGCAATTTGTGACAGAGAACATGAATATGTTTCTTTTTCCATAATAGGAGCTCTTGGGAAACCATATTCAGTAAAGGCTCAGAGGTGGTGACTCCTGAACAGCTCCAGTGTTGCCAACGAATAGTACAGCTTTGTAAACACTGCCTGCTGGTAGTTTACAAACATTCATCAGATTCAAGAGGATCCCCAACTGGGATGAGCCACCACTGGGATGATACAAGGTATACATTTGAATGTTTTTCTCCTTGATTATAAGTGTAGAGGATAGTACTGGAATAGGTTTCAGTCCACATTGCTTCCACATTGCTAAACTTTTCTTGAAGTCTGGTTCAATCTGTATTTAAGAAAAAAAAAGCAAACTCCCCAACATKTCCCTTGATTCTGACTTTCAGTCAGTCTTATCTCACTAGCCCACGCATCAAGTGCTACCAAAAGAAAACTTGACCATACACATCTTGTGTGAAAGCACACTTACTATACTCTTGATTGCCTACTGCCTAAATAGCTGCAGCAAAGGCTTTCCATAAAGTGAACTGAAAATTTCCTTTCTTCCCCTTCTCAGATCCCTCAAAGTCACTGTTTCCAGATTTGCATTCCTAGAGGTATCCTAACATGTCAGATACTTACTTCTGGCTTCACATTCGCTGTGGGATGCTATAGGGGCACAGCTCCAGCCAAGGTCAGGTAAGTGCCATCTGATTTACTGTATTGCACAGTTTTGCAAAGTTGATTTCCAAAACCTATAGATTGAAAGGTTTATTATTCCATCTTATGGAGCATAAATAATTTTTCAAACCTTGCAAAACAGCATCATATAGTAAAGGAATTATTTGGCACTTACCTGATTCTYCATTGGCTGGTTTAGTTCCCTAACTGGATACAAAAGGGGTTTATAATATTATCAGTATAGAGATTTCTGAGAAAGCTCCAACTGTGGCGGTCAACAATTTGCAATTCAACAGTCATGGATGGAGAATTAAATATCAGTTTTAAATTATTTAGGTTCCAAATTCTATCCCATTTAAATTATTGTGTTTATAAAATTACAAATGCTTTGCTTAGCTAAAATATCTTACATATATTATTACATAGAAGGGCTTTGTGAGTTAAGTATTATGTGAAAAATAAATTTTTGATACATTATCTGTTAAACTTAAGAGTTAATTGCTTACTTGATATATCTCAGATTAGTTATTTGATACACTGGACCCATGTGTTACTGGCATGTGGACCTTAAGACACACTAACATAACTTAAAGCCAACCAGAAATGAATTTGTTTGATCACAGCAAAAGTGATTGGTATGTTAGCCATAAACCAATCATATTCAATATTAACATGTACTGAGCTATAGCAGCAATATGGTAAAATCATTTGGATTAGTTAAGACTAGAAAACCTTGAAGGTTTTATTGCTTTTACTGTTAATGCTGCAGAAAATTTTACATCATGACCARCCACAAACTATTCAAACTGATCAGATTACTCTAATGTACTGCAGCTAGCAGGCTTGYATTTGGAATGCAATGAAAGGGATGGTCCAAGAGAACTTTCTCATCTCCAGTTTCTGTATTTCTTTGGATGCTGAATGGAAGTTATTCATAAATTTCACAAACTATAGGAATCKAAGCCCTCTGTATCCTAAATATCAATTATAGCGTGTCAGGACAACTCCTATTGATCGAAGTTACAGTTTTTATATTAGTCTCAATAAATGTTTCATATAGACATGGACACAGCAATATGCTAGTTAACCATGATATTCTTCAATTTGTGGAAGACACACATATAGAAATAAATACTCTTGTCCGTTACGGCCTACAATTGTAAGGGTAATGAACTACTTTTCTAGAAATGGGAAAAGCACAATACTGTTTCCATTTTCACTTAGATTTCTAGTTTTTGATGAATCTGCACCACTAGTAATACTTTTCTCCATAAAATTGTGTGGTGCAAACAAATACCAGAGTATCATTTAATAAATGTATGAAGAGTCAATTTTTTCAAGACTTTATAAAATCTGATTTGAAGAACTTAGAGCTGAAAACCAAAGCTGAAAATCTTTTTTGGTCTCYAATCAAATTTTTTTTACAATCCAACTTTTTGTAAGCTGGTTAATGTCATTTGCAGTTTTTGCSCAATTTAAATTAAACATGATTCTTTTGTTTACATAGGATTCCATTGTTTATTTCATGGCTTGAAACACAAAYGACTGAAAAGATGTTTGATCCTCATACAACAGAGTTTAGATTCCTTTTCTGAGTTAGCTTGTGCCTATTGCCYTTTGTGCTTCATAAATAATCTTTATTGTACTGAGTTTCCTGCATACAATGATTATAAAATTTGGCACATTAACAACTAATTCTTTTGCTTTTGAATGTTGCTTTGTCTGTAAACTTTGCTGTATTTTTTATATTCTTTCTAGGTATTTATTGCCAAGACCTTCACTGTTCATCCTGAAATCATCCTCATCCAAACTTAGCTGCAGTTCATCTGGAATGCCTCGCCCTAACATTTTGTTCACACACAGATACAGTCACTTGTGAAGTAAAAGGAAAATTGCTGTTTGTAAATAATAGCACTCCATTTCTTTTTTTTTTTTTTAAATTTGTGATGGAGCTAAACATAAACACTGTTACATATCCCTACCATCATATTATAATAAAATTTAGCTGAAAACCTACTGTAAAAGCATAGCTTTTCTGGGAACATAATAAACCTTTTAAAGTTGTTTACACATACATGTGAATGTGTAGATCTTGCTAGGTTTATAAATAGTTCCCTCAAACTAGAAATGTTATTTTTGCTGCAGAATATATAAAATGGAATTGTTCCTGAAGATTCTATTACAGTATTACATTATTTTGTAAGTACAGTACTTTGAATTGAAAATTATTTATTGTAAACTATATTATTTATTGTTTCAAATGTAACTTATCCTTTAACAAAGCAGGTAAATAAAAAACTCTAGTAGAACAGTAMAATTGTAACAGTCATCAAAAATAATCTGATCAGTTCTTGGACCTGTKTAAAATAAACACCAAAACTCTGTAAGCCAAACCTAAAGCAACATACTTTTATTTGTCCTCTGAAATGATAAGATCTATTTAATGCTGCTATTTTTCTTAAAGGACATGATATAGTATCTTTTAGCCAAAGCAAAAGYATCTAGTACAAACAGTAAAGTATCAGTTTAGGTGCTCACTTCCTAATTGGATTCTYGTAATAAAATGGAAGCCAATGTTTGTTTCCAGGTTTTCATTCACATTACCTGTATCCTGTGCCTTTAGGTTTCCTTTGGGAGCAAGCAGTCATCCTCAGCTCGCACACGCATGCATAGTGCATAGTTTTTCTGTTACRCTGCTTGAGTGGTAAAGCAGACATTTTTAGGAAATGATGCAGCTGTAATGTATTATTTCAAACTTAAGCTAATTGGTTTGTTGTAGCTTTTAGCATGCAATCCAGTACCTACTGTAGAATGTATCTTTGCTATGGACAGTATTTTCTACATTGCTGGCACCTYTAAATGTTGGAGATCTAATTCTTTAGGAAGCTCTCATTCAGGTCTAGATTCCTGGGGCTGGCTGAAGAGCACAAAACCAAAATGAGCCAGAGCAGGAACCTRGTATCAACAGGATTTGTAGCTTAAAAAACCTCATTCGGGTTTTGCTACATACAGCCATTCATCCCACTCAGCATTGTGCCATGTGAGCCTTATTCATTATAGAAATAATTATTAAACAAATCAGTTAATCTAGATTTAAAATTTAAGTTTTTTAACTGAGTAAAGAACAGAGTAGTTATTATTTACCAAAGACTTGTGTACTTACCAATCATTTAACCCTGAAACATGTTTGTAAATTATCAATGTATTTCAGGTATACTTTAAAAATAATTTGGGGGCTAATTATCCTCAGGAGCAAGTATATTAGTGTTTTTTGATATCCAACAATTTAAGACAAATTTAAGAGACTTAAGAGATTTGAGATTGAAATTGTATGGAAATATTTTTTTTTAAAGTTTTAGTCGTAGGATATATAAACCTGGGAATTTGGTTGAGATTTTTGATGCCTGTGCTGTAGTGCCTCAGCTCTAGAACTGCAGAATATGTAACAAGAATATTTGTAAACAATTAAAAAAAACCCTCTTGAGATTAGCCAGATCAAAGAAGTCTTTTGGTCTGGTGACGTATTTTTAATTTTTGTGGTAATACTAGCTCAGTAATGTAGTATGTTCACATTAATTGTATATCTCTTTTGGTCCATACAATGACTATTAAAGCATACTCTGGTTATCTGTAACACCCAATAAAAGCTGTAAATTTTCTCTTCTTGGAGGAGGCTTCCATTGTATTCTACTTTTGGTCATAAGGATAAGATCAACTTCCAGCTTAGCTTGCCAGACTCAAACAGAGCTTTAGGATAGGAGGTTCACATGTCTTTTTTAAAATATTTTTCTTTTTTTTTTTTTTAAACCTCGTTATGATTTCTATTCTCGAATGCCAGTGCTGGGCCAGGTCAGTCTGTACAGAATACTATGCCAAAAGAAAGAGGGCTACTAACCATACCTATGGACAGATCTAGGAAAAAAAAAATACATTTAGCATGTACAAAAGTGGACCAGATGATGGTTTACGTCTGACATTACTTAATATATTTGTATTTCTGATAACGTTTCCTAAAGTGGTGATGTGTTCCTAATAATGTGTGAATCAATACTTTCAATAAACGTCATGCTACACTTTGCTGCAGCTCCTCAGAACCAGCGTGTGTGCTCATCGGGTGAATAATGGGCTGCACCTGWRGCCCAAGTCAAGGTAGTGCCACACCCAGGTGGAAGCATTTACCCCCTTCCTCTGCACAACTGCAGCCATTTACTTCGTGATTAGAGCAGTCTTAAATAGTGGCCTTGAGCTGCTGCAAGCCCTTAGTGGCAGCACTRCAGCCTGGTGACCGCAGGCGCGCCCACCCCTCATCCGGACCCCGCCACACGGGCCTTGTTTGGGAGCAACAAACGCGCCGAGCCTGGAGGTGATGGCAGCACCCGCAATGTCCTTGGTAGTGCAGCGAGATCCTGGGTCTGTTTCCTGGTGCTGCGGGAGCTTCAACGCGAAGGAAAAGAACACAGGGAGATGTTGGCAGCGCTCGATCTTCACCCGGTTCAGGCACGGCTGGAGTAAGGTAAGGCACGCGCGCCACTGCCGGGCCTGAGGCGGCATCGGGATCGGGCCTACCCGGCGTGTGAGCTCCTTAGGGCTTGGCAATAACGGGACCTGTGGAAGCCCCACTGCCCGTTAGTCAAGGACGTTGCCCCTTTGTTTTTTTTTCCTGTTTAGTTCGCCTCAAGGCGGCTTTTAGCGTTACTTAGCTGAGAGCAGCTGGCACCTTTCCGGGGCGGGAGGGGCTGGGACCCGGCGGGGGAGGCGCACTAGGAGGCAGCGCGGGTAAAGGGCGTTTAAAATCAACATTTAAAGATAGAGCTGAATGGTTCCTTATCTGCTCTAGGAGTCCCAGAACAAATTTGCTTTATATATAAAACTGTAAGTTTACRGTTTATGACTTTCTCTGTATATTCAAGTAAAATGTTGAAAATATTGAAAATATTGAAAATATGCTCAGAGGGATGCGGACAGGCTGAATCAATTGGCAGAGACCAAGAGTATGAAGTTCAACAAAGAGAAGTGCTGATGGTTGCCYCTGGCTCACAGCAAACCCTGGAGTGCTACAGGCTTAGGGCAATGGCTGGAAAGCTCCCCAGAGAGCTGGTCAAGAGCTGCTGGATGTGAGCCAGCATAGGCTAGGAGGGCCAGTGGCATCCTGGCATATATGAGCCAAAGCATGGCCAGYAGGACTRGGGCARTGCCCTGGTACTCGGCACTGGTGAGGCACCTCCAGTGCTGTGTCCAGCTYTTCAATGCACAGAGGACATGGAGRTGCTGRAGTGTGTCCAGTGGAGGGCAGTGGAGCTGGTGAARGGTCTAGARGGTWAGTACTATGAGGAGCAGCTGCGGGAGCTGGGGTTTTGTAGCCTGGAGAAGGGGGAGCTCAGGGATGGCCTTATCTATYCCTCCAACTCCTGAAAGGAGGCTGTAGGCAGGTAGGGTTGGTCTTGTCCCCCAGGGAACCAGTTATGACAGGACAAGCAGACATAGTCTTAAGCTGCGCCAGAGGTGGTTCAGGTTAGACACAAAGAGGAATTTCTTCATAGAAAAYGCCATTAGATATTGCAAGGAACTGCCCTTGAAGGTTGTGGGATCACTGTCCCAGGAAACATTTAAGAAAATGCTGCACGTGACACTTGGTACCCTGGTCTAGTTGTATGGTGGTGTTTGGTCATAGGTTGGACTTCATCTTGGAGGTCTTTTCCAACCWAATTGATTCTGGGAAAAGATGGAATTGCATTGACAGTTACAGCATCTAATTCAGGTGCTAGCAAATAAGTATTTGCCAACCTAACTTTCCATACATTGTTAAAACAGTTAACTTCAAGCTTCTGCAATGGGAATCCATTTTCAGGGGAAATAATTTGCAGTTAAATGGCATTTGTAGTGGAAAATCTTTCAGTCCATCATTTGCTAAAAACATTTGTAATTTTTTCTGTATGTGGCAAAATTCCCATGTGTTAGTTGTTATTCTGCATCTGTGTTCTTTGTTCGCTGCCAGCCACCTCTGTGCAGTTCCCTGCGTTATTGAAATCTCTTGTTAACATAGAAGAGTCTTTGTTAGTGTGTAAATACCTGTAGCACTTTAGGACTCTTAAGGAAATGGGGGTAATTTTGCCATTTATGTGTATGGAACAGCAGACTCTGCTTGTGGGGGATCAAGGCAGATGCATTCTTGATGTTTTTAACAYATCCTCATTTCTTCTTTAAAACTAAAGGCAGCATTTTCACAGTAAAGGCAACTGTTAATGCTGAGCTGAGATGCTGTAGCTTATGCTATAAAATAATGCARTTAAGACTACTGTGTATGGTCCCAGGTACCCACTGAGTGGGTCAGCCTGCCTTTAGCACCGCTGAGTTAAGTGCAGCCCGTGCCTGGCTGAACTGGTGGCTGACAGGGTGCCCAGAATGCCCGCAGCTTGCCATGCTGGCTCAGGTGGCTGCACAGCAGTCAGTCCCCCTCTGCACTGGCCCCTGTCAGGACTTATCAGCTGCGTCATGAAGGGTAGGGGAGCATAGGGAAGTGACCCCTGTGTGCCTTCCCTGCTGTGCCCTCACAACACCACTGCTCCCAGCTGCTGTCACGCAGTTCTGCTGAGCGCCACAGAGTACCTAGGGAGTGATGTTTGTCAGCATGGGCATCTCACTCGCTGCAAAACACAGCTTTMAGGGCTGAGGGTGGCAGTCATGAGCCCAAAAAGGTATAAGAAGTAAAAAGATCTGGTGAGGAAAAACATTATCCTGGAGAAGGTTTCSTATTAAATGTTTTGCTTGTGCCTACCTTTGTGGGATTATTTGCTGTYATGGAAAATAATCGTGCCATGGCAGAACAGATGGTTTCACTTAATGCTATATATAATTTTTAACTGAGTGGCATAGGGTCACCTGACATCCTATATCATTATACCCAGTCAGTTGTTCCTGATAAAATTCCCCACAATCCACTGTCTCTTTTGGAGGCTTCTCAGAAGGCTATAGACGACCTTATTTTCTAAATAAAAGCTTTCAAGATTAAAAAAAAAAAAAGTCATTTAATACTTGTATTTCAAACTTCTATATAGCGCACASACTCTTGATCTGACCCACGTATCAGAATATCTCTCTGGTTGTCCTTGCACAAGAGGGATGGGATTAATTTTCTTTGCAAAGAGATATACAGCTCTGAGTGACATGCAAGTGGACTCAGCAAAGGTGCATCTGGCACAAGAATAGACAAATATGAGAATTCARTATGTGTTTCCAGGAGAATGCACCTGCGCCCCGAGCTGTCCTTGTGTGCAAGTGCTTCTCTGCTGAGTGTCTCTCTCAAAGCTGAAGTTGCTTTCTCGGAGGTCTGACATTGCTTGCTCTTCCAGGGACTTGTGGATCACATACAGCTACAGGTTTCATTAGTTCTGGTGAGTTGTT